TTGGCTGTGCAGGGCGTGTGTGTATGTGGGGGGGGTGCTGGGGAGGGGCTGCTGGGGTGGGTGGAGGTGAGAGGTCCCCGAGGCGCTGCACCGACGGGGTGCAGGGCACCTGGCAGAGGGCAGGGCCTCCTGTGGACAGATGGGACGGGCATCCGAGGGAGCTCTGAGCGACCATCTGGAGTGGTTCCCCGTGGTCACAGACACGGACACACGCATGCGCTCCCTTGGGCCATGAAGACAGGTAAGGGCACAGACAGGAAGCCTTGGTTCTCACCTGGGGACATCGGAGCTCACATCCCTCCCAGCCCTGAGGCCGTGCAGAGCCCGGGCCACAGCCCACCACCCAGGCTTCCAAGATCCCCAAGATCCCCAAGATCCCCAAGATCCTTCTCTGCTGGCAGGGGCTGGCCTCCTCTCTTCCTTCACCTTCTTCGTCCTTCCTTCCCTGGTCCACTTGCCCCCCCTCAATCCCCTCCAGTTGCCCACGTGTTCTCCTCACCCTCACCCCCAGCTTGCTCTCTAGCATGCTGAGAAGTGGGGGCCACAGGAGGAGGACCGCCGAGGTTCATCGGCCTCTGGGGTCAGGTGCTCTACCCAAGGAAAACACCTGGGCTCCTAGCTGAAGTAGCCTGCTGCCTCTCGGCCGCTCAGGGAGGCAGCTTCAGCCCTTTCTGCCTCTGTCCTCCCCAGTCCATCAGCGAGCCCCTCTGCACACTTGAGTGTGGGCCCATCTTAAAAACACCCCAAGCCCACCGGCTCCCCCACCTTCTCCGTGACCCTTGGCAGTGACATGCTTGAAAGAGACGTCTACACTCCAAACGTTTTCCCCACTCTTGAACCTACTCCAAACTGGCTCTACCCCACTACTCTGTCCGAACAGCTTATCTTAGTCATCTCAGGCTGCCATAACTCAAATGCCACAGGCCGGGGGGCTGAAGCCACAGACATTTATTTTCTGACAGTTCTGGAGGCTGGAAGTCCAAGGTCAAGGTTCCAGGCCATCCAGGTGGGGGTGAGAACTCTCCTCCTGGCTTGTCATGGGCCGCATGCTCACGTGGTGGAGAGAGAGAGCGCGTGAGCTCTCTACTGTCTCTTCTTATAGGGAGTCTAACTCTATCGGATTTAACCCTAGTTACTTCCTTCGATTCTATATCCAAACACAGGCACAGTGGGGCTTCCGCTGTAAGTGGGGGGCACGACTCCATCCCTAGCACAGCTCTCACCAGGCTCATCACCAACGTCCACGTTGGCAAACCCAAGGGTCACGTAGACCTGCCCTACTGGACCTGTGGGCACGGGGCACAGCCAACTACCCTCCTCCTCAGCCTCTGAGACTCACCCTCTTGCTTCTCCCTCCCTCACCGCTGCTGCTTCTCTTTCTTTGTTGGTCCCTCTCCATTTTCCCACCCCGTTACCCTCGTCATGGCCTGGCGCTCAGCCCTGGCATTTCCCCTTTCTGTCCACACTCGCTCCTGAGGTGGCCCCGTCACAGCCCCGTTCACTGATGCCCCCACATTGACACCCTCATCTTGGACTCTCGCCTGTCCTCAGCCCTGTCTAGCCAGTTGCTCTACACTCAGAGGCTTCAGGGGCGTCTTACCCTCCACTCGCCTCCAACAAGCGCCCGCAGTCCTCCCCACCTCGCCAATCTGCTCCACCTGTGGTCTTCCTGTCTCACTGGCTGCCATGCTCCCTTCTTCCCCTCTTTCCCTCACAGCCCGGGTTCGACATGTGAGTGCATCCTTTTGGCTCCGTCCTCGGGATAGTCACGGTCCCACCACCCCTTACCACGTGGCCTGACCACCGTTGTGCTCACCTGGAGGACCACGGCAGCCCGCTGTGGTCGGCTCGTCACGTCCCTCCTCCCCCAAAGATGTCCACGTCCTCATCCATCCCCTGTGAATGTGTTACCTTATAGAGCAAAAGGGACTTCAAAGATGAGATGACACAAAGGGCTTGGAGAGGGAAGATTATCCCGGATGGTCCAGGCAGGCCCGCTGTCCCTCCCTCTGAGAGGCAGGAAGAAGGACCGAGGCTAAGGTGATGTGACAACGCTAGCCGAGGGAGAAAAGGTGGTGTCATGTGGGGCCGTGAGCCCAAGAATTCGGGCAGCCCCTAGAAGCAGACTCTCTTCTCGAGCCTCCAGGAAGAACACAGCCCTGCCAACACAGAGCTCTGAAACTGTAAAAGAGTAAGTGTGTGTTGTTTCAAGCCACTAAGTTTGTGGTAACTTCTGAATTTTTTATAGCAGCCACAGGAAGCTAATGTACACCCTCAATGTGGACCACAGGACCCTACGTGGTGTGGCCCCCGTGAAACTCTCTGGCTCATCTTCTTGTTCTCTCCTCCTTTACCACCCTGGCCCCCTCCTGCCTCTGAGCCTTTGCACGTGCTGTTCCTGTTTCCTGGGACACCTTTCCCTCACAGATCCACCTGGCTTGTTCTGGCCAAATGGTGCCTTATCAGAGCCTTTTTGTTTTTCTTTTTCTTTTTCTTTCTTTCTTTCTTTCTTTCTTTCTTTCTTTCTTTCTTTCTTTCTTTCTTTAAGATTTATTTACTTATTTTAGAGCGAGAGCATGTATGTGCATGGCAGGGAGGGGTAGAGGGAGAGGGAGAGAGAGAATCCCAAGCAGACTCTCTGCTGAGTGTGGAGCCCCATGTGGGGCTCAATCCCAGGACCCTGAGATCCGAAATCAAGCATTGGACACTTAACCGACTGAGCCACCCAGGCATCCCTATCAGAGGCTTTTCTAACCACGTCTGTAAAATCGTGCCTCCGATGCCCCCTTGTGCCCCTCCATATGTGTATCACTATGTATGTATGGTACATACGCTGTATTCTATATTTCCCTATTGTCTTCCACAGAAATGTAAGCCCCATTTATATGTACCGCTGACCCTCGGTGCCTATAGTAAGTGTCTGGTGTTGTAAGCACTCTTGGCTGGATGAATGAATGAATGAATGAATACATTTTACAGATGGGGAGACTAAGACCAGGAAAGGGGAATAAATCAAACACGGCGTCTCCCACAACTCGCTGCCCCAAACCGCCTCTGCTGGGCAGCCTAGGGCACCTTTCAAAGGTTCATCCCTCGGGCCCGGGGCCTCAATCCCTGTTCTTACCCACTCAGCTTCTGCTCCCTGGTCTCTTAATGAATGAATGAACGCCTCCATTCATTCATCGGGGCCCTTGGTTGGGAAAGCCCTGCAGGCTAGAAGACCCGGAGCAGGGCTGGAATGGGGAGAGACTGCCGGGAGGAGGAGGGCCTAGCAGGGCCAGGCTCTGCAGATTCTGGGGAGCACGGAGCCTGGTTCCAGGAGCGAGCAGGGGGAAGCCACAGAGCGGGCTGAGGGGGCAGAGGCCTGATCCAATCCTCACCTTACAGAGGACCCTCAGGGCTGCCCTGAGGATTGCAGGGGCCAAGATAGAGGCAGAGAGGACCCTGCAGTGGTCCGGTCAGAGGCGGTGGGGCTGTTGGCTGCCGGGGCCGTGGGGAGATTGGAGATGTGATCGGGCAGAAATGACAAGACCCGCTGAGAGGTAAAATGTGGGGTGTGGAGCAGGTGGGATTAAGGAAGAGGATCGGGGGGCTTGGGGAGAGTTCCCGAACGGGTGGGGTGACGGTGCCTCCCAGAAACCTGCTCTACTGTCTCAAACACAACAGGGAAAAGTCTGGGGCTCCAATGCCCCAGCTAGGACTCTGGGATCCGGTCTCTCTCCTCACGTTCTTTTCCCGACTTGGCCTCATTCTCAGGCAGGCCGCCCCACACAGTGCCCGTAGCCAGCAGCAACCCCAGGCTGCATCCTATCGGGACAGCAAACCCAACAGAAAGAGAGTTTTTTCTAATATTTCCATAACACAAGCCCTGGGGCGGGGGGCGGGGGCTCCCATTGGCCAAGCTTGAACCACATGCCCAAACCTGAACCACTGAAATTGGGGGCCAGCTGGCAAGGCTGGGCCCACGTGCTCGTCTTTGAGCCATGTGGCTGGAGAGCTGGGGAGGGAGTGCGACACTGTGGAGGGGCTGGGTGGTGGGCAGGGAGACAGGAGATATGACCAGTGCCCTGCCCAGGCTGGCATGCAGGGGATTTTCTGAGGGAAGGGCCCGGCATGGGGCTGGCTTGGGAGAGAAGGGCTGGTATGGTGCCTGGAGCGTGATCTGTGGGCCTTCCTGGTCCTTATCTGGGCAGGCCTCTCCCGGCATTCCTGCACAGGATGGCAGGGCTGGGCTCTGACCCTCCAGCCGGGGTGAGCTGCCGCCCCACTGGACGCCTGCCCTTTCCTGCCAGTCTCTCATGTTGAAAATTCCGTGATTTATGTGCATCCACAGCCTCAGATGCCTCCTGATAACGTCAGTGCTGAGGCTAGGGTGCCTACCTGCTCTGCCCACGGCCTTTGCTAGCACTGTAACCTCCCCAGACCTCAGCTGCTCCCTTGCTTGCCTGCCCGGTGAGTGAGGAAGGTTGTGCTCAGCTGGGGTGGGGCGCCTTGAGATCGGAACTCAAGCCCCCCCGCCCCCATTTCCTGGGGGTCCTGGCAAGGATTGGAGACGTCTGCTCAGCTTCTCTCTGGTTCTTGCGCTTTACTATCCACTCTTTCGGTGTCAGTCTCTGGCTTCACATTTGGCCCCAACACGTCTCTGCCGACCCTTCACCTGCACGAGTTCACGGTGGCAGGAGGGCTGCTGAAGTTCCAGCCTCAGCTCTTGGGTTTAAGTCCAGCAGGAGAGTGAGAGCCTTTCCTTACAGCTCCCTCCTTAACTGGGCCACTTCAGGTCTCATGCTCGTTCCCAATCCTCTGTGCCCATGAATGCAGATATCAACTGCCGGGCCTGAGTGCCCCGCTCCCAGACAGACAACAGGGCAGCAATGGGAAAGGGACAGTCAGGGGGGCCTCCCAGTGCCAAAGGCTGACCCGGCGCACACTGCTTCCCACCCCAGGAACCAAGCCTTAACCCCTCGGCTCTGTGGGCTTTCACCAACGACACAGGCCACGCGTCCATTTAAAAATCATTTTATTATTAACATCATCTTCCCATTTAGCCAAGTGTCTGTCATGTATAAGGAATGTCGGTAAATATTCCATTTGAAGCTTCTTTGTACATATTTCCATCGATAAATAAACTCTGAATTCACATAAAAAAGTTAAACTTAAATAGCTCCTATTTCCTTCTCTTGTAACAGGCATATATTGGTGAAATAGAAACATTCTCCAACTCAGGCTTTGCTCTAAGTGAGGACAGGAATTCACATGGTACAGTTATTGACAACAAAACCAAGAAATTGTCAGCTGGTGTCCTGGCTTGGACTAGGACTGAGGTGGAAAACAGAAAATTCACATTTGGTTTCCGGGCCGAGGTTGGGGCAGGAGTGGTAGGGGAAGGAGAGTTATCTTTACAGCTCTGATAAAAATAATCTGCTCTGCCACTGAATTTTAACTTTGGATATATTCTTCTACATTTGCTGATTAAGTCCATTATCATTTGACTTTAAAACGCAGATGTCGACTCACAAAATATGGCACATAATCCATTTTGGACAATGTTCAGTAGGTTCAAAAACTATCATCGGGCTGGCCAAAACAGTAACAGAAATGCGCGTGGGGACAGCGATGAACCGGGGCTCGTTCGGTTAGTTCAGTGTGGCCAGTCACACGTCCATCCGTGGCCTCGGTGCGGCGGGGTGGGGGTGGGGGTGCCCCAGGCGGGGCCCTGGGGGCCTGAGCAGCAGTGAGGCTGGCAGGCACCTGCTCAGAGCACCCGAGGGATGACGGTGAAGGGCACGGCAGGGCTGCTGGCCTCCAGCTCCAGGGCCGTCAGGAAGCACTCAGTGGCTGCTGCATCATTGCCCTGGGCTTGCAGGACCTCGCCCAGCCCGTTCCACACCTCGTGGGCCGTCGAGTTCACCTGCACGGCATCCCGGAGGATCTTCTCTGCTAGACTGTAGCGGCCCAGCTGATGAAGGATCAGGGCCTGCAGGCATTGGGGAGACAGACACACAGACAGACAGTCAGAGAGACTCTGCAACTCTCGGCTCTTACCTGTCCTCGAGTTCCCGCAGGTTTCTGGGAGGCGGGCATGGATCGCCATCGGGCTGGGCACACAGAGTAAGTTCAAATTCTTCCTGCACTTGGGGGCAATCATCAAAAGGGTGACCCGTGTTGGGCCATTTTGGGAAGATAAAAAATTGGCAATTTGACACGGTTCAGGTGAGTACTTAACGCCCGGGAGTGAACCAATCGGGATGGCCAGTGTGTACTGACCCAGGGGCCGCCCTATGTGTGCTGGCTGGTATCTAACGGTTCTTCTAACCTAGAGAAACGTTATTTGTGGCGTTACTGTCGGTCATGATTAGGACAGAATTTGTTTTCATTGCTCGCAGTTCCCCCTACCATAAACAAGCCCCTGCCTTCACCGCCCCCTGCTCACCCCAAGCACAGCTGTCATTTTCCATAGTTTTACTTATTTCAAAGATTGACTGATTGATTTTAGAGAGAGCGAGAAAGAGAGAAAGTGGGGCAGAGGGAGAGAGAAGCAGACTCCCTGATGAGGATGGAGTCCGATGTGGGGCTGGATCTCACGACCCCGAGATCATGACCTGGGCCGAAATCAAGAGTCGGACGCTTAACCGACTGAGCCACCCAGGTGCCTCCATTTTACAGTTTTAATTAGGATGTAGGCGTTGGTCCCCAAATATTTTACCATAACCGTGTTTCCCAGTCATGCATCCCTATGACTGATGGGTTTGCACTCTTTCATCCCATGACAGACTCTCGTTTCCTCAATCTCTCCCTCACGGGGCAGACACTGAGGTTGCACCCACTCTCTTCGCTATTATAAATCATGCTGTGATGAACATCCTTCCAGATAGTGCCGCTGCATTAAAAAGCAGTGAGGGGGCGAGAGGGTCAGCTAGCTTGTGTCCAGCCCAGAAGAAGAAATCTGCGCAGGTTCCTGTCTGCTGAGATAGGGCAGACAACTACTTAACAAAGTGGAATTGAACATGTCAGGTCTTTGAAAGGATGACTTTCAGAGCTTTGAAGTGACAAAAAAACCCCCAAAAAACAAAACCCCCAACCCAAAACGCAACACTTAAGTTCAACGAATCCAATTTAAAAAACTAAAAACTTTTGTTCAAAGAAAAAAAATCTCAAAAGTTAAAGAACAGTCTAGACAATTGTGATTGCAGATGAAGAGCAGTCCTCTAAAAGATGTAAACAAAGACATGGAAAATATGTGACCTCGATTGTTAGTAAAGAAATGCAGGTCTCAGTAAGGAACATTCTGTGCTTATGAACTCGGCGGCAGACTGCGCTGTCATGCTGTGGTGACGCGGGGGGCAGGGGACCGATCCCTGACACTCCGCTCGCGGCTCCAAGAGGGGCACGACCCTGTGGGGATATAATGTGCAGAGTATTTGGAGAACCCCGGTCAGGCCACTTTGGGGAAATCTGCTCTAAAGAAAGAATCTCCAAGTGGTTGTCAAGCTGGTTCCACTGAGCCCCATCCAGGGCTTCTGCGAGGAGCCCGCCAGGGACTCTGCCCCACCCACGAGCACCCAGTGCAGGAGCTGTGAGGACGAGCTGGGCAGAGCTCAAGGTCAGCGGGGCCACAGCCAAGGAGAACCACGACCCCAGGGCAGTGCATGATCTGTGGAGGGTATGGAGAGATCTCCATACCGTAGCTCTGGCTCCCTGAACGGCCTTCCCGGGTGAGGAGGCAGAGGAGGAGGCCTCGGGCAGACAGAGGCTGTCCTCCCCTGGCCGGGGTGCAGCAGACCTTAGTGTCAGTTCTACTGTCTCTGGGGAGAAAATCGGAAGGAAGCAGTATACATTCCCTCTCTTATTAACATCTATGCATGCCTTAAGCATGTTCACGCGGTAGCCCAGGTCCTAAATCGGATCCGTCAGGCAGAAGGGTGGCTCCCTCCCTGAGGCTTCAGGACAAGGGCAGTGGCCCGGAGTCAGCCCTTGCCATGAGGATTTCCCCTTGCCTCCTGAAGCTTCCTCTCGTCAGACTACAGGCCTTCCCGTTCTCCAGTGTGAACTGCTGGGTTTCAGCGGCCTTGCCCAGGCTGCTCAGGGTCAGGTGTGCAGAGACCCCCAGGGAGAGCCTCCCAGCTCTCTTCCCAGAGCTGCTGTCCCCCACCCACCCGTGAGCGGGCCAGGGAACTGTGTGCAGAGAGCAGGGACAGACGTCCAGCACGGACCTGGCTTCCTGGCGGGACGACGGATAGTGATAATAGAGGACATGTCCACACCTGGCTGCAAGGCCCGCTTCTGCTGCTGTGGGGTAAGATCCCGCAGTGGGGGAGCACCTATCCACGGTGGCGAGATCTCCCCACGCACTGCCCCATTTGGGCTCCTACAGGCGGCGTCCCCGGCCCTAGGCGCCCAGCCAGCTACTACGGAGCTGGGCTAGAACCCGCATATCCTAACTCTTAGGGCCTGCCTGAAATCCATCTGGGTGCCGAGTCCCGGGTGGGGCAGTAGTAAGTAGGCACTTCTGTCTCCTGGTGGGGTGCTGTCCCCGCTCTGGCCCTCCTTCAGAGAAACTTGGACAGCTCGAGGCCCACACTTCTCAATCTTGGCGGTCAGGCGGAGAAGAACGGGAGGCCTTCCCTAGGTGGTGTGCAACAGGATGTGAGGGCCACCGAGCTCCTGCCTCCTTTCTTCCAGGGGAGGTTATCAGCTTGAGCTCAGTCTAGAACATTCCGATTTAACCAACAGAGAAGTAAGAGGAGGGAGGGGGTCTGGGCGGTGGCAGCAAGCAGAGGCCTGAGGTTGACAAAAGTTGCCCCATCCTACTCCTTCAAGGTGTGACTTTCTCAGTGCATCACATTATTGAACACACACAACCCTTTTCTGAGGGGCTGTGCGTGCTGGGGAATGGCTGATGAGGGACAAGCCCCCTGGTGAGACAGAAAGAGGCGTCCCTGGTTTCTTGGCTGCAGGCCGGAAATATAATTTAGGTCCCGCTAGGCTCTGCTGCAGAGCCAACCCCACACTGTTTTCCTCCTCTACACGGAATGTTTTCGAATGTTTTCTCCCCATCAGGCGCGATGCTAGGCACGTGTACTTGGCTCAGCTCACATTACCACCGCTTTAGATACAAAGCGACAAGGTTCAGCAAGGCCAGGGATCTTGGCCAAGGTCACAGGGCCAGTGAACATGGAGCTGCAGGCCAGCCCAGGTCTGCCTGCGGCGAAAACCCCCATGCTCCCCACTACACCTTCCTACCCGCTCCCCTGCTCACTGCTGCCTCTGTCGCTTTAAGAGACAAGCCTGGAGCCCCTCGGGCACTAACCCAGTTACATCTGAGCAAGTGCAAATGGGCATCTGCCTGGGTGGGTCTTCCCTTTCATTTCTCCAACCGTGGATCACTGGCTCTGTCGCTCCTCCCCGTGGTTATGACGTGGTTCCTCTCCAGCCTAGCTTTTCTCCGGCTCAGACGGCTGCTTGGGAGCATCCTATATATTCACTCAAGGACTAGGAGGGCTCCTTGCTTCCCTTTGGTGGCCCACAGGCTGCCTGTAATCTTGAGGCTTGGGATGGATGTAGGTGCCAAAGGACTGGGGGTCTTGTTAGCCAGAAAGTGGGCCATTGAGAGGTGGAGACCCAGGAGGGCCAGGGCCTTGGCCTTGGCCCACTAAGACCCAGAGGTCACTGCTCTCAGCATCAATGACCTGCCCCCACCCTGCTGGAGTGGAGACAAGGACCCCAGCCTTTTTGCTGGGAATTTTGTTTAGAAGATGGCAGGCTGCTAAATCTGGCTGTAGCCTATCCTGGGGGCTCCAGCGTATACAGCAGGGGGCAAGTCTACTTACCCCCAAATGCCTGCAGAGAACCAGCCAATGGGGACCAGCTAATCTGACCTATCACACTCCATCCTGGGCAGCTGAGAGTATTCATGTTCTCTAGGGTTCTGGGGTTCTTGTGGGCTTGGAAATTTCCAGCCCATATACCTGGACTTATATTCCTAATGCAGGAACAGGCTACCCTTTCCAGATGACCTTGAAGCTTCCAGAGCAATCTGTTTAGTGGAATTAATTCCTAAAGCTGGAGCTGCTCAGGGAGACATGAGACGCTTGCCAGGGGCTGCCAGCTCAGGCTTGGCAAGGGAGTGAAAAATCAGCCTCTGCCCAGTGCCTCAACAAGCCAAGAGCGACTCAGAAATCAGTCACATAATGGGATCAAGCAGGACAAGCTCTGGCTGGGCTCTGAGCCATTGCAGGCAGGTTGGCCAGAGGTGGGCTGGGACCTGGCTGTCAGGACTGACAGCGCCCCCACCCCACCCCACCCCCCGCCCTCAAACCCCAGTGTGCTGGGAGGGGCCTTCCTTGGCTCTGTTGTGCTCTTTTGCACTAGAACCCTGACACCTTTTCCAATTCTATAGGCCCTGCTTCCTCTCTTCTCCAGCCGTCAAAGGCCTAACTCCTGAGGCTGGCATTAACTATTCGCACCACTGGCTGGATCCAACTTTCTCCTAGTACAGACCTCTGAAAGCCCATGCATTTCTGCAGGATGCATCCCCCAGGCCCCTTTCACCTCTCCAACGTTAGCCGTTCCTGGTCTGGCCCCTCCTGCTGCAGCTCTAGTCCATCTGCTAAAAGCCCTGTTGATCGCCATTCCCCCAAGAGCCCAGGCCACACTGCTCCCCCCACCCCCAACCTTAGGTAGTACTACCCAGAGGCATGGGTCCTGCTCCCAGCCCTCAGACTGGCAGGAGACAGAGATTTCCAGGACTGACATATTTCGTTACCAGAATAACCCACCTTCTCCCCCATATCAAAATCCCAAACCCCGCTGAGTGACTGTCCAGATCCCAGCCATGTGCTGGGGACACAGAGGAGGCCGAGGAGCAAGGCTGCTCTCCAAGCTTGGGGCCCAGTGCAAATCCTAACGAGACCGAGCGATGGCTGCACACCGGGGTTGGGCTGTGCCGAAGACCTAAGACACCTGGCCGAGCTGAGA